TTGATTTGAGAGTTTGTGTTAGAAGTCTGCTGTATTCTCATGGGCTTTCCTTTGTAGGTGATTTGTTTCTTCTCTGTAACTGCTTTTGATATTCTGTCCTTGTGTTGAGTTTCTGGAATGTTGACTATTATATGCCTTGGTGAAGATTTTTTTTGATCATGGCTAATTGGAGTTCTGTATGCCTCACTTATCTGTATGTCACATTCTTTCCCCTTTTGGGAAGTTTTCTTTCATTACTTCTGTGAACAGGTTTTTTTTATGTCATTTGCGCTATCTCCTGCTTTCATTGACTCATCAATCTTATGTTATTGTTTTTGTCATTTAGCAGCTGTTGGATTGATTTCTCATGGTCCCTTGGTATTTCTAAGAAATCTCTCTTTTCATAATTGCTAATCACAACCGTCTTCTATATCTGCTGTTCTGTCCTCACATTGGCTTATTCTGCTGTGTATACTTTCAGTGGAAGTTTTAATCTCCTAGATATCTGTTTGAATCTGTTTCATGGATTCCATTTCTTTCCTATGTTGAATATTCATGCTTTTTTTTTGGTACCGGGGATTGAATTCGGGCCCTTGCGCTTGCGCAGCAGGCGTCGAAACCACTGAGCTAAATCCCCGGCCGATGCTTTTCATCATTTTCCTAAGCTCCTCTATTTTTTTAATCTGTATGTGCTCTAAAGTCACTAATCTGTGGTTATCTGAGAAACTATTTCTGATTTGATTGTTTCTAGAGCCTCATTCATGTGCTTTATTTTTCTGCTGTTACCACTTCAGAGAGTCCAGGTGGGTGGGTTTTGAATTGTTCCACCTCATTGCCCCCTGGGTTTGCTTTTGGTGTGCTGGAAGTTTAAGGTTGTGTCTTGCTTAAGTGTCTTCTCATTTTCTGTTTTTAAAAAAATTTAATTCCTGGCTTGATGGTTGTAAATTTCGTATGGCGAGTAGCTTTATTGCTAGTATTTAGAATGCTTAGGAAATGACTCAGATGTCTTCCAGGTATAGCTGGCTTTTGAGTTTTAAGTCTATTGTAAGATCTTACCTCTTTAATTTATTAGCGATGAGAAGTTGCTGCGTATGTGGCCTAGCCTGGCACTTGTTTATGACCAACAGGCAATCTCAGTCTTAGTGTACCAGGAAGAACAACTGATTAGAACAATTATATCATCTTAACTAAAGTGCAATCAGCAGTAATAATAGCATTAAACACAGCATAGAAAAATGACAAACTGTGGTATTAATTTCCCACCTTTAACTGTATGTGCTAGGTTTGTGGTTATATAACAAAATCTAAAATGAACCATAAAATTGTATACAATAAGTAAGCTCTTAGTATGGTGATTTTACCCATAGAGAAGATTTAAAAGGGGTTAGAGGGGGAAAAATAGAAAAACAGAAAAAGAGAACTAGATTAGAAGCAAGTCTAGAGTACAAAGGAAGATCATACAAATTTTGGGAAACTGGTGAAGACAAGAGGGAAAAAGAAAGGGGGAAATAACAACAATAACGACAACAGAAAAACTAGGAATGGTGTTCAAATAATGAAGAAGAAACAAAAAGACAAGAACAATCCAGAGAAAAGAAAATAAGAAAAAAGGAATTAAAAAAAGTCCAATTCAAGGCATGTCTCTGCTGTCACTGGTAGACAGTGTGGGCAGACAGTGTCCAGAGCTGAATTGATTAATCCCAGCAAGCCAGCTGTAGCTTTATGGTGGGGTAGTGGATAATCTCAGCCAGCCTGCACCTTTAGTTCCACTGAAGTTCAGGCTGGTTTTTGGCTATGAGCCTGGAACCGTATTCTTTGATACTGCAACAGTCCCTGTGCCTCCTGGGGGCTGGCTTGACCTCCACTCCCTGACCTCCTGCTGACTTTAATTTGACACCTGCACCCAGACACTGGGAGGCCACTAGATGGTGTCAGCCCACAGCCCTTCTGAGTTCCAAGCTCAGTTGGCCCCTCTCTTAGGATGGCTACTGGCCAATCACCCTCTCCTAGGTGATGTCTGAACCCAGATAACTCATCAGCCACTGCGTTCTGCTGTGTCCACTGCTCCGTTCCATTGGTGCATTTCTCCATGGAGGCCTCTGGAGTTGCCGTTGTCACTGTGTGTCTGCAGGTTTGACCTGGTGTTTCCTTGCCAAGAGTCTGGGCTCTAGGAGAAAGTGTGGCTTGCTATCTCCACTTCTTTGTTGAAGTGTCTCTCTTTGCTCTGCCTGTGGACTTCAGTTCTCACTTCAGATCCTTCCTTGGTCCTGGGGCCCCACTTCTCTCCTTCTTCCCCTCACACTGCTATATTCCATTGTCATGACACCAAATCTCAGGCTCTTTATCTGCTGCTCACCACTCTGCCATGTTCCTGGAAGTCCTCTTTCATGTCCTTTTTTTTGGTACTGGGGATTGAACTTGGGACCTTGCGCTTGTGAGGCAGGTGGTGGAACCACTGAGCTCAATCCCCGGCCTTTTCATGTCTTTAATGAAATGTGATCAAAAATAAAATGATGATTGCTCCCACATACCATCCAGTAGCAAAGTAAGTTCATATAAACATTACCACATAGTCACTGGATTTGGCACCATGCAACATCTGGCTCTTCCTCATTTCTCAAAATGATTGAGAAAGGGAAACATTTTGAATTGATTCAGGACATTGAGGTATCTTAAGGCAGTACAACTAAACACATGAAAGGACTTCCAGAACAATTTCAGGAAGTGGCAAACATTGGTATAAGTGTGAAGTGAGGGGGTGTATTTTGAGGGCAGTTTCTGGCAATGTGTCTTTTACTGTAATACATTTAAAAAAATTTAAACATTTACTTATAATTTCATTAGATTTAGAACATAAACCTAGGTGATACAGCCTAATGCCTGAGTTTTATGGTATAACCTCTTGATCCCAGGCTAAAAACCTGTACCTGTTACTGTACTGAGTGCTCCTTTCAGTCATATTAAGTACTTAAGATTGCTAAGGACGGCTGTACTAAAACAGGACATAAGAGATAAAGTGGTACCTTGGATAGGCTCTTCTGTGAGTGATGCTGCAGGACTGCATGTTGCTCTGGGTGAGTCCATGTGGGCAGTGAGTGTGAAGGCCCAGGGCACGCCTGTGTGTGACTGGACACTCAGTCTGTTCTGTAGTTTATTTAATGTAGTTAGGGCAGGGCTTATTTTTATTTGCCATGTGAATTACAGTGGTTCTTCATTCAGTGGCTTCTTTTAGGTGTTATCATTTGTGCCATTTTCTCTCATATTTCTCTTAACACTGAGTACATGTGTAATAGGCTTACGTAGTGTATTTTTCATGTCTCCTGTTCCCTTTTTGTGTTTTTTATACTTTTGTGCTAACATTCTAGATGTTTCCTTATGACCTCGTTTGTTCACTAAATCTTTTTATTTATATCCAAACTATTGTTAATCCCCCACTTACTGATTTAATTGTTGGGTTTTGTTTTTTGACTTTTCTTTTCCTTTTTTTGAGACAGGGTCTTGCTATGTAGTTCAGGCTGGCCTTGAACTCATGGTGATCGTCCTGCCTTAGCCTCTGGAGTGTTGGGATTACAGGAGTGTACCACCACACCTGGCTGGTTTTGGTTTTTGAGACAAGGTCTCCATGCTTCTATTTTTGGTGATCTTCCTGCCTTGACCTCCCGGGGGCTGGGTTTATAGACATGCAACACCATCCCTGGCTTCTTATTTTTACTTCTGTAATTTTTATTTATTATTTATAGTTTTCAGTTTATTGCAGCAATTTTTAATGTTTTATATATATATTTGATCATAGTAGGCATACTTCTTTTTTTTTAGAGAGGGTCTTGCTAAGTAGTTCAGACTGGGCTTGAATTCACTATGTAGTTGAGGGTGGCCTCTTGGTGAGCCTGCTGCCTCAGCCTCCCAAGTGCTGGGTTTACAGATGTGTGCCACCACACCTGGTGCATACTTGTTTAAAATCTTTATTTTGTAACTCCAAAATGCAGATCTCTTGATTTTCTTCTTTCTTCTGGTTTTCATTCATGGTTTCTTATCTGTCATGAGCCTGGTACTTTTTGTTTTTCTGGAAATTCTAATTAAATTGTAGAAATTATTTGTAGCCAAGTTGGTATTGTTTTCCTTCAGAGAGGGTGTTTGTTTGATGCTGAGTGTATTTGTGGTTTAGGATTAACTTCATCAAGTGTCGGAGTTGGAGACGAAGAGCGCTCAGGGTGTGGTCTCTGTGGACCAGGGTACTTGCATTGCAGTGTGCTCTTGCTCCTGGCTCTCGGCCCTTTCACCGCACAGTTGGCCGGGGATGAGGGTTACTGTTTCCCATTCTCCCTTGGCTTTCTGTGCCCACATCTGTGGCCTTTCTTCCGTTTTCAGTATTACAGTGTTCTTCATTCTCATGTGAACTCTCAGTACCTTCAGTCATGTTTTAAAATTAAAAGGGACATTGATATTTGATGGTTTTATTAAAATATTTCAAAAAAAATTAAAAATAATGTTAATATTGAAAAGCATTGACATTACTATAAAAATTAAAAATTTAATATCAACACTTAGGATTGAAATGTTGAAACTGTGTGTGTGTGTGTGTGTGTAGGAGTGGTGGTGCAGAAGTGCAAACCCAGGCCTTAATGTGTGCTAGGCAGCTGTGTTCCACCACTAAGCTACATCCCTAGCCCAGCAAATTATTAAAACTTTAAACTATTTAAAATTATCTTTGAAGTGGTTTTCAGAAAGTGTTCACCTGAATTAAATTACTTTGTCTGCCATATAAGCAGTGTTAGTGCTGGCATTGGAATTCATAAACGCTGCCACCCCCTCCCCCACTTCTGGAGGTCAGGACAGGGGAAGCAACACAGAAGTGGTGTCAGGACAGGGTTGGCTCTGCTCCCTCAGAGGCCAGTGCTGAGGGTTTCATGTCTTGGGCCGTGCATTTGCTTACATACTCATTTCTAAGGGGTCTTTTTAGAAAGATGGTGATTTTATTTTTAATAAAACTTAAAGAATGACTTTGATTTATGTATTTTTAGGTTGGGCTCATGTGGTTTGTGCCCTGTATATTCCAGAGGTACAATTTGCCAATGTTTCTACAATGGAACCTATCGTTTTACAGTCTGTTCCACATGATCGTTATAATAAGGTACAGTGAATATTATTTTTATTACTATTTGAATGTAATTATTTTGTTTCAAAACTAGGAGATAGAAGAATGGCTTTGAATTTTTAAACTTAACGGCTTTTCTCAGCTTCTGGAGAGATTTGAAGAAAAACAGAATTATTATCCTAAGCTACAGTTATTATAAAATGTTACTAAGGTCACAAGAGTATAAAACAAACAAAACTATGTTACCTTTTCTTCTAATGTAGGCAGTAAGTTTTTTGTTTTTTTTTTTTCTTTTGGTACCGGGGATCGAACTCTGGTCCTTGCGCTTGCGCAGCAGGCGGCGAAACCACTGAGCTAAATCCCCAGCACCAAGATATTTATTGCTTTTAACATTTATAAGACATATCATCTTCATAAATTTGTCCTTTAAGAATTTATTGTTGGCCAGGGATTTAGCTCAGTGGTTCCGCCGCCTGCCTTACAACCACAAGGACCCGAGTTCGATCCCTGGTATCAAAAAAACAAAGAATTTATTGTTGACCATTCTTGCTTTTAAGGATCGAGATTTTATTAGATTCACATTAATCATTGTTTTATTCTGATATTCATTATGATACATTTCCTTAAAAAACGAATTCTGTATCAGAAAGTTACATATCCTCACAAAGTTGTTTATACCTTAAGATTTGATTTTTGGTTTTGGCTTAAAAAATAGAAAACAAACCTTAGTGAGGCTTGGTGGGCCACACTCGTAGTCCTACCTACTCTGGAGGCTGAAGCAGGATGATTGCCCAGGAGTTCAAGGCCAGTTAGGTCGCTCTCTTAAATTACAGACAAACAAAGGAAGGTGGGCATGGTGGCCTATGTCTGTAATCCCAATCACAGGAGAGGCTGATGCAGTTGGATCTTAAGTTTGAGGCAAGTCTGGGCAACTTAGTGATACCCTGTCTCAAAATAAAAAGGAGTAGGGTGTAGCTCAGTGGTGAGTGTTTGCCAATATGTGCAAGGCCCTGGGTTCAATACCCAGTAGCCCAAAAAGGAAGCAAAGAGGGAAGGGGGAGGGAAGGAAGAAAGAAATCTTCTTGGGCTGGGGATTTAGCTCAGTGGTTTCGCCGCCTGCCGCGCAAGTGCAAGGACCCGAGTTGGATTCCCGGTACCAAAAAAAAAAAGAAATCTTCGTGTCTAGATCCTTTTAGATTTTTCTGTGTGTTTTTATATATAATAAATAAAGTTGTTAAACATTTGGGTCATAATATGTTGTTTTATCTGCTTTTGAAACTTAATGAATCTTGAACATGATTTTGTGTCAGTAATAATATTCTTGGTGTATTGTAATGGAGTACTTAGTCTGTAATCCAGAGAGTATTACTAAATTCATAAAGCTGAAATTAAATTAAGCATCCCTATATTATTGAAGGGCCTTATTTGCTGTCTAGCATATAGGTGACACCATTTGAGTCTTATGTAAAAGATATGAACATTTTAGAAGCTTCACTGCATTGTGTGAAATTGTCCTCTGGAATACAGTTGCCAAATTACACCAGACTAGCTGTATGTAAAATTGCTCACAACCTCATATTACCCAAGTATGGTGGTGCATGCTTGTAATCCCAGCACCCGGCAGGCTGAGGCAGGAGGATTGCTGTGAGTTTGAGGCCAGCCTGGTCTACATAGTGAGTTCAGCGACAACCTGTTGTACAGCGAGACCCTGTCTCCAAAACAAAAGTTATTCTTTCAGTAAAAAAAGAAATTTTTAAAGGTTTTGAGGTGTGCGTGAGCTCATGTATTTATGTCTTCATTTTCATATTGTAACTTTATCCCTTCAGCTTGTTTTACATTGGCGACAATGGTATTTTTTCTGATATATTTGGTGTATATGTTTTTGTCCACAGTTTAACCCCACTACCCTTTTAGTGCTGGAGATTGAATCCAAGGCCTTCAGCTCACTAGGCGAGCACCCTGCCATTGAACTGAAGCCTCAGCCCCTAACATTTGGCTTTTAACTTTGTGTACTCATGACCTTTGTTGTTGGTATTCTAGCAGATTAATATTTTCTATCATGGAAGTTTAAAATTTGTATGTAATTTATGTAACTTGTTTTTATTGTTTCTGCCCTTGATGCCATGTAAGGTCTCTATAATAGTGTATAGATTTTTTTTTTAGTACTTTTTATTGAAAAAAAGGCTTGTTTTTCCTTTTAATCTTGAAATAATTTCAAGTTCATGTAGAGGTTGCGTGAATTTTATGAAGAGCTCTTCCTTCTTTAAGCCATTTGAGAGTTATTTATGAAGATAATATTGTTGCCCCAGTCTGTTATGTATTTCCTATAAGGAAAGGCATTCTCGGGCTGGTAATGTGTCTCAGTGTTAGAGGGCCTTGCCTAGTGTGTGTTGGGCAGTGGTCACATCCCCAGGACTACAAAGAAAGGGGAATTATTCCCCTGTGCAATCCAAGACAACCGTCAGAGTCAGAAAATTAACAGTGATGCATTGTTACTATGTCTGCTGACCTCATTTGTTGTCCCAGTTTTGAGAAATGTCTTTCGTAGCAAAAAGATTAAAAATTGCAGTTTGACTTTTATCTTCTTTATTCTGAAATAGTAACTCACTTGTCCTTGACTCTGGTAGTTTTGCATGTTACAGTCTATTTTGTAGAATGTCTTCCAGTTTGAATTTGTCTGGTGCTTCCTTAAGATTTTGTATTTTCCTCGGAATATCACAAAAATGATTATGTGTTCTCTTTGTATCCTGTCGGTGGTACATGATTTCAGTTTTTCCCATTGCTTCTTTTCTTCCCCCCTTTTAATCCCCCATTACTTCTGAAGTTATTTTGTCACCTGGTTAAGGAGGTATCTGTCAAGTTTCTCTGCTATCAGGTTCATCTTTTTTCCCTTTGTAATTAGTAAGCATTTTATGGGAGAGTAATTTGTATGTACACACTGTTCCTGTGCCTTCTGCCTTTTCCTTACTAATTTTAGTACCTACTGATATTTGTTGACTTAATTTATTACTATGATTGATGACAAGTGATGATTGTCTAAATCTGTAATTTTTTATGCATTCATCACTTAATATTCTATTGTTAGCAAAAGCTTTCTTAGTGACTGTTGACTCTTTTATATATGTTAATGCTTTATTGAAGTAGCTTATACTCCATTACTGCTGTTTATTTAATCTTCCTAGTGTCTCAGATTTGGGTGGTGGGACTTTTTTTTTTTTTTTCTTGGTACCTGGGATTGAACGCTTTTGAGGCAGGTGGCAGAACCACTGAGCCAAATCCCCGGCCCATGGGACTTTCTTTTTTGAGACAAGGTTTCACTATGTAGTTCAGGCCAGCCTCAAACTCTGTATGATCCTCCTGGCTCAGCCTCCCCAGCGCAAGGATTACAGGCATGTCCTACCATGCCCAGCTCGGCTGATGGAATTTCTTGAAGGTGGCTCTTTTATCTTTTGCCATATTTCTGTCATTCTGTGAGTGCTTCCCCAACATAGCAATGTATTCCAGACTCACTATCATTCCTGTTCTAGTCCTGGAATCACTGTTTCTCCAAGGAGTCTTGATTCCTTTTAGTTGACGTTGCTACTCAGAAACCAAAGATGGCACTAAGTGGGCTCATTATTCTTGGGATTGGTAGTCTCTGGCCCTCAGATGGTATAGCTGGGAAATACATGCTTGTATGTACATACAGAGGTACAGATGCACATATACAGTATTGACATATGATTGACTGTTTGTACATGTTGAAAACTGTGAGGTCTCGATAATTCTGTTGCAGTAATGGATTTCCGTATTTTTCTGTGTATATTGAGGTACATACACTCATGGTGAGTTCTCCAAGTCCAATCCCACAGCAGAGGGTTTTTTTTTTATTTGGTACCGGGGATCGAACTTGAGACCTTGTGCTTGTGAGGCGGCAGAACCACTGAGCTAAATCCCCAGCCCCAGCAGAGGGTTTGTTTTAACTCTTTCTTTTCATATTTATGACTCAGTCAGACAGGAGAAGCATCCCCAGCAGGTTGCTTGTTTGGTGGGCCTCTTCTGTTATTGGCAGATCTCCTGCTGCTGCCTCCTTAGCCTCATTCATGTGCCCCTCTGTTTGCTGCCCTTCCCCGCCTGGCAGTCCTTTTTGCCCTTGGGATCAGACAGTGGGTGGCCGTCTGCCTGGCTCACTGTGCCGTCCACATGGCCTCCTTGCCCCTGCCCCCTTGGGAGCACAGCCCAGCAGGCTTGGCCTTTCCTGGCTGCGCCCCTCTGCATAGAGCAGCTTTCCCAGCTTGGCTTGGGGGGACAGGAGACGGAGGAAGGAACAGTGAATTTAGATTTAAATCTTTGATCCCTCTAGAACTATTTTAGGATATGGCAACATAGGTGTTGTCCTTCCAACCTGGTTGGTCAGTTTTCTCAACACTATGACTGAATTTTTTATGTTTTTTACAATAGTTGGAAATGCTCTTTGAATCATTACTAAATTCTTGGGCATACTTGAGTAGGTTTCTATACTTTTTCCCCCAGCTCCATTGATGTGTGTCTATTCTTAACCTAGTTCCGTGTTGTTTTAATTTTGGCTTTATATGCATTTTGCTACATGGTAGAACAAATATCATGTATTTACCTTTCTTTTTTTTTTGGTACCAGGGATTGAACTCAGGTCCTTGTGCTTGCGCAGCAGGTGGCGAAACCACTGAGCTAAATCCCTGGCCCTACCTTTCTGTATTTAGGAATAAGAAAAATACAGATTTAATCATGCTAGAGTTATATTGACGTATTGTTTTAGGGATGCATTTTTTAAAAAATAATACCGAATTTTCCTTTCCAGAAATGGATTTATTTTTCCTTCTTGATTTCTTTCCTTTTTGTATTTGTCCTTATTTGTGATTGCTTTGTGTTTGTTGGGTTTTGTTGCTGTTGTTTTAGTATAGTTAGTGTTAGGATACACAGCCTTATTTCTTGGGTACAGTGAGGCATACACGTATTTAACACTAGCTCCTGGGAGGCTGGGTGGGGGTCAAGAATTTGAGGGCAGCTTGAGCAACATA